AGGTATACCTACGCCTTTACGGTTATTATGGGCATAAATATACTCAAAACTCAATTTAAACAATTCGGCTTGTCAGATCAATACTATATTTATTGATCTCCGTATAACATGTAGGTATATTAAGTATTGTTTGAAGTTTTATTCGTGTCATGAAGCGTACCTATATTATTTTACTTTCTAATCTATTTATTTGTTCTCATTTATCGACATTCATACTTGTAATTTGTATAACCGGTAAACTATATATATTGAGTCTTAATAGTATAATATAATATATTCATTATTATAATATATATTAAATAAATGGCAGGGTAAAATAGATATGTACGTTGTATTTGAACAAAAAAAAACTTTACAAAGTTTAACCTAAAATGTATTTGTAATATTGATTATACTCTTCTTTTAGTAACGCTGTATCTAATAAATACCTACTATATTAATTAAAATAATTCAGTTTTGCATTATCTTCAATATGACAAAATAATTAATTATCATACAAAAATCAAATAGTTTATAAACTAACATTATAATTTGTAGTTGCAAAAGTAATATTTTTATTTCACTAGGTTAAACGTAGTTAATGTGTGTCTTAAATGAGTTTGGATAAATAATGCCCTGAAAGAATCTGCAGCAACACATTTAGTCAAATATAAATAATATAGGTACATCAAAAACCAATTAATTGAAAATAATTGATTTCCAGAGTTATTATAGTCAATAAATTTTCATGCTATTACGAATATACATAAAGGTGTAGGAGAGCAAGGGAACAATATATACCTATAAACGTCTCTGAAACCATAATGTTACAGCGTCAATAACTTTTGTTTTTATAGCGTGGATCGCCATATTATATTTGTTTTCTCTTTATCGGTCAACCGCGGTCTCCGACCGAGTAATAGTTGAAAAGTCTGTTCGTTTAACATGCTATATTTAAATAAAATTACTAAAATTTAAGTCAGAAATTTTTTTTCAGAAACAATTAACTAGGATATAGGTAATTACATATTATATAGATACATATATACCATTGTACCTATATGTATATAATATATTATATAATATACCTACATAGCGTAGTTTATCTATGTAAAATACTTAAACTTATTATGCTAAATATATAACAATACGTAGCAGCTATAGTGTATCTATATATATACATTATTAATTAGTAAATTGGTTTACCCTGGTACAATTTATGTATTATAGGTATATAAACGAATTTTTGTGCATTGAACGTAACGCTGCAGGTATACCTACTTAAATAATTCATAGACAATAGACTTATATAAGTACTTATAATACTATATATAGTACCTATACCTATATTTATAAAAAATTTTCACCAAAAATATAGACATTTTATTCAAATTATTGTACCGTTAACGTTTCCGCCATTGCATTATTGCAAAGTACAAACCACAACATAATAGGTATATTATATTATATTATATAGTATAAAGTTATATATTAGTCATAGATTAGTTTACAAAAATCCTTATCTAAATGTTTAACTTATTTTTTTAAATATTATAAGTATATAGGGATGAAACATAAAGCTAATTATAGTAGGTACCTACTTATAACACATTAATGTTATAGATTTATTTGAGGTTCTTCTTATAGTTTATGGTAAGGGTTTAGGTAATAAAATATACCTATATAATATCTTTAAAAAATGTTACCATATATACCTATACCTAATAGTTTTCAATTTTGTAATAATAAAACAACCATTGTTCTTATTACTTAATATATTCATATCTTTGTAATTATTTTACATTTCAATCAAAATATTAATATTAAAAAACTTAAAGCTCATATTGTATACATTTTATAAATCTATTAAGGTTCTTAGGTAGGTACCTATATACAGAGTACGAAACATTGTAACATCGTAACATTTGTTTAACTGTAGCTTAAAATATTAGGGTTGGATTATTTATCATATTATTTTATATCGACGTTTAATTTAATTTTGGAATATTTTACATTAAGTTATATCTACAATTTTTAGAATATTAATAATTTGATGCTTTGCATTTTAAATTTTTAAGCTTAATATAGTATGTACTAATACTTATAGCAGGTCGGTTGTAGTTCTAAGCATAATAAAATGTTACAATTGGCTATTTTGTGTAAGAGTTATTAATGTTAAATCATATTAATCATATTAATCATTATAATGTACCTATATATTATTATAATAATATAATTATATATATGTAGATGTAATTAAATACTTTTGTGATGGTTTGTCGAATTATCCGAGTTATATTCGCGATTATAGTCTCAATTAGTGCGTAAAAAAAAAAAAAATACGAATTTGAACACTGAAAAATTCATACAATCATTAATTTATTAATAATAGGTACTCATTCATATTTAAACAATATTATATACATTACGAATTCTACATGTGTGAATAGGGAGTGGGTGAGATAGTTATAGACAACTTCGTCTCGACCGCAAAGGTGAAACACCATCTCTCTAGTGTCTACCATGGAAGACAAGGTAATATGTATAAATATATAAATTATAAACTGATTCAGATTGGCACATACGTCAAACACCAATAGCTGGTATAGGTATATGTGTATATTATGTTTATATAGCGTACCTATATCGATTATATAATATATTTGGCGATGGAATTATAAGATATATAAATATAATAATACAATATAATATATTATAAGTGTAGGTATATAACTATATAAGTATTTGGTTATAACTTATAGGCAATACATCATCACGACCGCAAAGGCGCTACACCACTTATATCCAGTGTCTCGTATTATAATATACCACCAGCACCTATTGGTAATTGGTGTACCACGGAAGACGTGTGTGGACTAGCTAGGGTGGTGGGTGGGTGATCTCCACCTGGGTTGGTGAACATTTGGGGCGAATTAGTGTGTTTTGTATAATAACATGTATTTTGTAATACAAAAAGTAATAAAAAGAATAAGGAAAGAAATAAAAATCAAAGTGTTAAACCAAAAAAACTATTTTGTTACCAAATTTGGGCCAAGTTTTCTGTTTCTGTTTCCCCGTGGATTGAAGATTTTGCTATTATTACGAACAATCAAAAACAATTATATAAACAATATATTCATATATTCATTTTTGTTATTCTTATTTTACATCATATACTATATCGTATACCAATAAATTATACCTAATTTATGTTTTTATTAATATTATTAACAGTGTATAACTATAATTAACAAATTATTATTCTCCGCGCAGTACCTAACATAAATAAAGAATTATATCAATATTTATAGGTAACTAATATATAAAAAATTAAAAACAATTTGAAATAAAGAGGAGCAAATTATTTATTTTTTTCGGTGGGGGGCGTACAAAATATACGGTTAACCCAGTGCTCAAAAAAAGTGTAAATACGCGGCTCTGGACACGACGACGGGCCTTTTAAAAATAAAATAAAAACGAACGCGTATTTATTTTTTTTATATAATAATATCCGTTGGGGCGGGCTCGTGGAAAAATCGATTTGGACACGAAAACTCTGGGCGCGCGTTAATTTTTTCCAATTCACTATATATATTTGACCCATTTCTTTGCCCACGTCCGTCCGCCGACGCCGCGAGGGGTGCAATTTTCGCGAGCGCGGCGAGTTGCGGTCGAGTGCGGTGGAAGCGCCGCCGCGGCACTGGCGCAAGGTGCTCGGCGGGTAGTGTGGCCAGGAGGGGGTAGGAGGGGAGGATACAAAGGGGTTGGACACACGAGCGATATTTGCCACACAAAAGTAAACGGCGCGAACAGCGAGAGACAGAGTTATATAATATTATATATATATGTATATATATTACGGTACGAGTGTGAGAGCGATAGGGACGCGGAGAGCGAGCAAGAGCCGAATTCACACAAACACACGCGGACGCGCGCGCGCAGACACATATTTTATACAATATATACGTTTGCAGCGCGGAAGAACAAGCGGCGCTGCAAATGGAAAAATGGGGGAAAAAATAGTAATAATAATAATAATAATAATCATAAAAACGAAGAAATATTATGCATCACACGTGTGTGTACGGGTTTGTGTGTTTGTGTGTGCGCGCGACGTGCGGAGTGGAGACAGTCAGAGTCGTCGTCGTCGTCGTCGTCGTCGTCGTCGCTGCCGCCGCCGCCGCCGTATCACTCCAGCGGTGGCGGACGGGGGCGGAGCTCCGGGGCGCCGGCCGCGCGGGACGGGGTTCAACGCCGGTGGGCGGCGCCGTCGTGGCCGCGACCAGCCAATGGCGAGCGGCCGGCGCGGTGGGAGAAATTCAGCAAGCGCGAACGCCGCGGCCAACGCGACGGCCACGGCGGTAGCAGCAGCAGCAGCAGCAGCAGCAGGAGCCGCCGAACACCGCCGCAGACGGCCGCGCCCGCAACAGTCGCGTTCCAACCGTACCGCCGCCCGGTCGCAAACCGTCGCCCGGCACACCACGCAAACAGTTATAATAATATTAGTATCGTTGTATGCGCGACTATACACACAAACACGTACATAACACGTCGCGTATTGTACGTCACGATAATTTCCGCGCATTGTCGCGTGTGTGTCCGAGTGATCTGCGTGAGTTACCGGAAGCCGAGCCGCACTGCCACCGCTGCAGTATAATCGTTTGGGTGTTCGTCGATTATATTATATTTTTTTCCCGTTTTTCCGCGCATGTCGACGGTATCTGTATATTGCAGCTATTATCGACTAGATCCGGAAATCGACCGCCGTATCCGGTTTTGCGCACCCGCGCGAGTGCAGTGATTTATTCCAGTATAATATTGCAGTGCGTTCATTTATATTTTTTTATGTACATTACGCGTCGTATAGGTACGCGCGTATCGCGATCATAGGCACTTATCGTATTCACCGACCGCGGTGTGTGACAGCAGCACGCGGTTACATAAACGCGATTCGTTTCGACCGCCGTCGTCTGAGTATATATCGGCACATCATAGCATCGCATCATAATATCGTCTGCACCATGATCATGGATTCGTCGAACGCTGGCGCGGAGTCTACCGGCTCCGGCAGCGACCGCAGCAGCAACGTGTCGACCAGTCCACCGCCGCCGTCATCCACTTCTTCCCAACAGCAGCTACAGCAACAGCAAATGCAACAAATGCAGCAGCAACCGGCCACGGGCCCTTCGTCGGTGGGTGGTGGTAGCAGCGTGGGTGGCAACAAGGATGGCAGTCCAAGGGACGAACGGGGAAACAGTCCGATGATGAGCCTCATCAACCCGTCACAGCACCACCCCATCATCACGCCAACGAGAGGCCTTAGCCCGCCGGTGGCGCAGACTTCTTCGCCGGTGGTGCCGGCTCCGGTATCGTCGATGAGCACGTTGGCGTCCCGCATACCTATGGGACTGTTCAACTCTCTGGTACACCATTCGTCGCCGCTCGACCTGATGGCTATGGCACATCACCACCAGCAGCAACAGCAGCAGCAGCAGCAACAGCAACAGCAACACCCGTCATTGCAGCAGCAGCAGCAACACCCGCCGCGGTCGTACAACAGCCCGCCACCGATCAGCAGCACTGACCCGGCCGCCAACGAGTGCAAGTTGGTCGAGTACCGTGGCCAGAAAGTGGCCGCGTTCATGATAGCCGGCGACACGATGCTGTGCTTGCCGCAGGCGTTCGAGTTGTTCCTCAAACACTTGGTCGGCGGCCTGCATACCGTCTACACCAAGCTTAAGCGGCTCGACATCGTACCGCTCGTGTGCAACGTCGAACAGGTACGCATACTCCGCGGTATGGGCGCCATTCAGCCGGGCGTGAACAGGTGCAAGCTGCTGTCTTGCAAGGACTTCGACACGCTGTACAGAGACTGCACAACCGCCAGGTAAGGACTTTATGATTATAATATATAATATAATATTTCTAAAACTATTGGCGGTGACGACAATTTAGGTGCCCATTTACCTTATGGATGAATTCAAAGTTGTTTAGGTGATTTATTTGGGGAATTTTTTTGGACTTATATACTTTATGCAGATACTATTATTATTAGTATTTTATGACGTATAATTGTGTTCCATGTGCGAATTTTATAAAGGACTTTAACGCGTTCGCCTTTGCGAAGTCATCCGTACATGTACGCGTATATATAATATTACATTATATATAAAAAGTATTGTGGGCGGATTCTTAAAATTTGACCCCTGCTTGTTCTTTCCGGCCAATACCTCTAATTTTTCATAGGGCGCAACCCTATAATTTTCCATTATCTATATTATAGGCATAAATGAATCCAAAAGGTGCGAGGCGGACAAATTGCGTTTCCTGTGCACGACAAGAGTTCCTATATATAATATTATATATACATATAAAAGTATTATAATACCTATACATTATGTAGATGGACATATTATGTATAAATCTTCGTGCAACGCTTTCGAAAATTATTACTAGGTATAAACACCCGGCTCGGTTTAGGCGTATACACCTAATATACACGTAACCCCGTAATTGACGGTTTTAAAACTATCTATAAATGTAATACAATAACGACTTCTTATATGTATACAGATATGTTATTTACCAGCAAGAGCGGAAAACGATACGAATAATAATCGTAAAAGCTCATCGCATATAGAATTACCCACCGTTTTCTCGTGTAAATAATATACGCGCCGACGATTTTCCCCCTTTAATGCACTGTAGAAGAGCAGCTTTTGGGGTTTGAAAAACACGTGTTGCATTTACAGACAAACCCCGACGACAATCGCATTTATAAAACCCGTGACAGATTTTATTACACCCGAACGGAAACATCGTCCGCAAATCGTATTCGTCCCATTTATTTTCACTTATTCAAATCGCACGTGTACAATCACTATATACAGATTCCATATACATGTAAAGGTACCTCCATAGAGTTAAAATCACATTTATTTCGATAAAATATATATTGTTAGGTAGCAAGGTAGCTACGTAAATCAGTTGTATAATATTGTATTTCAATTTGGGTTAGGTATACACTTATATTGGAAAAAACAGTGATATACATTTTCATGTAGGCAGGGTTAAACATATTATATTTAAGCGTTCATTGCCCACTGAAATTGTTCATACATGAATGATGAATGTATAGGTCGAATTGCAGTTAGCATTCGTACTGTACGATTTTTCTAAACTTAATATCATCATTATTTTAAAGTTCTTCAGGATGTGTTTAATAAGTATAAATAATAAGGATCTTAAAGCGATCAGTCATGTGCAGCTCAATTATATGTATATAATATTATATTATAAATCGTACCCACCTCAAACATGGAATAAACATATATCAAACCAAGTTTAATCAAGTATAATATATTGGTAGGTATACCCACAGCCTATATAATATAGTTCTGATTGTAAAAAAAAAGTATGATAGTAGTATAGATGGGTATTAAAAATAAAAAAAAATACATAGATACATTGTAGGTATACCATATCGGTATATATATATGCTAACGCGGGAGTGTTCAGTGGAGCTTATATAATATATACCTATAAAAAATTGTCGAGTGGCCTAGTAGATATAGGTAAATGTAGCGTACTACCTACATCTATAGTATTATATACACACTGCCACAATATGGGGTCGCTGTTGCACAATATAAGGGGGAAATAACAGCCGAAAGGGTTATTTGCCTGTAGAGAAATACATATATTGTTACAAAAGAATAAAATATACAATACCATATATATACACATATATTATATGTATTAACTACATCGGGGAGGAAAAGTATATATATATATATATATATATATATATTATGTGTGTGCTCGCGCGTATATGAATAACAATAAAATTGCGCTGGATCACGCGATCGACGAGCGCATGCTATAGATCAATTAAGCAAAAGGCGCGGGGCAAATATATAAATCCTAGGGACATTGTGCCCACCCTTAATACAAGGTGGCATGGGTAATGTATTATATACTTACTATATTATATTCGACTTCCACTGTACATATAATATGTAGGTACCTACTGCACGAAGACTGTCCAAATCGTTGTTATTATTTTACTAGTTTTATTGCAATAACATAACTAAATAAAAATAAATTAACGCTAACGGCGACTATATATTACCTCTACACGGGTTGTAGAGTTTTGTTTTTCTTTCATTCATTTTTCACGAGTTTCCCTATAGTGTACATAGGTAGATATAACTATATATAGGTACCTATATTCCTAAAAAAATAAGCAATTGCTTCCTTATATCGTTTCAATATGTACCTACCAAAATTATTTTTTTCACTTCGATTTTTTAAATAGGTACCTACTTGCATAATGATTTGTACCCACCAATAAAATATTAAATTAAAAAAAATTAAAAAATCGATTAGTATAAACGTTATTATGAGTTCCTTCAAATATATAGTTAGTTAATTACAATTATCAGCGTTCTTTCTTTATGTGTATTGTATTGTTGAATTGTTAAATTATAAAAAAAAAAGTCAATTGTGCGGATGTTATATAGCATATTTTTTATGTTAACAGAAATATAATAATATTCGTCCTTAATAATTGTTCAGTTTAATATCCATTTGATGTCTTTAGTAAATTATAAATGATATTGAATATAATATATGATGTATTAAAGATTATATTGGCGGTTTCAATAATGAGAACGCATAACATATAACATTATGGGCTATAGGTTGTAAGTAAACCTATATTTAATGTATACATGCATTTTTAATAGAATTCTAGTTCATTTTTATAAACTATTCAAAAGTATGTGTCTAAATTTGAAATATTTATTATATTGTTAGAACTTCCAACTTAAAAGTTACATTTATTGATTGTCGATTAAAATGTTATTTTAAAATGAACCATAACGCGTTTAAGTATTAATATTCAACTGTACATACAAAATTAAAAGATACAACACAATTTCAGTTTTAAATATTGAAACGCGAATCTGCATAATGTATAATATGTATATATATATATATATATATATATATATATATATATATGTATATATATATATATATATATATATATATATATATATATATATGTATATATATATATATATATATACAATGTACATAATATAGTACCTATAGATGACCTAATGTATAGACGACGCTTGCAGTATAGCTGGGATCGTTTAGATATATTAAGTAGGTACCTATATAGTAAGTTTTAATTATCAATCAGTAAACTATGAACTATTATCATACAACACTTTGTATATTGTATATATACGCACATACCTACTATATAACTATCTATAAACGGTAACGCTTAATATGTTTTATGACAAGTTCTCTGTAGCAATGGCCACCTGGATATATTATTTTGTAGTCAAATTCACTTATTGCAGCGATGGTTTTGCCACGGCTAGACATCATGATCTCAAGGTAAAAATTAATAACGATCGATTAATTTTTTACATGGGTCGTTAAAATATTATACGAACCTACCCATATAATCATTATGCACATTAGTACCTACGTTTATTGTAATAATATTATAATATATCTCTGCTTAGGTACACCTACATTTTGAAGGTATCAGCACTTACGTATAACCCTAAATTCAGAGTATGTGCATCGGATCCATAGACATACAGACAAACTAGACAGCCGACTATAACTTGTTATTGAAGCCGCATCCGCTATGGGTCCGATTTATGCCTAAACAGCCCAAACTTTAATATAATAACAATTATAAATCTATAAATATTTTAAATAATATGATAAAATGTAAACATTGCCGTTTAGGCAAATGGCGACAACAACTTCAAAACATTGCATGGCTGTAAGTTTTGTAGTTGTAGTCGGTTATCTAGTTCTATATAAATCTATGCGGAAGCGACATAAGCCTGAAACAAAAACAGAAAGATACCCAATATAATAATTATAATAATATATAATATTATCCAATAAACTACTCGCTTATAGCTATAATAAGGCCCGTTTCACAGTCACGAGTTTCAGTTTACATAATTTTATTATTATATTTTGTTGAAGTTCATATACTCTCCAACGACGATTGAAACGCATCATCGTGGCTCGTCGTTTCGGTGCATTAACGGTGTATTTTAACGAACGCCAGAGTACTTGTCTTAAACGGTTTTACGAGTACAATAATTTAACGCAAGTAGGTAAGGGTCAGGTACCTATATCTGGTTAGGTATCTGGTTACCTACATTGTATGTATAATATTATAAAATAATTGTGTGCAGACGACGATTGACGAAATACATATTACAATATTATGTACTACCTATACATATATGTATACGACTTTACACTGGTTTACGAGTATATACCTAATATACAGTGGTGTATTTAGGTTTTTGTCTTGAGGGAATATGATTTTATTTTGTTTCTCCGATTTTAAAGTTAGTGGCCTTAAGTTAGGACTCCGAAAACTTTTGCATAATAGGTATATACAGCTTATGGGGGGATTGATCCCCTTGATCCCCCTGTAAATACGCCATTGATAATATGTATAGTAAATCAGCAGCTCCCCGATCGGATATAATGTAAAAACTCCTATGGAGACTACCCTTATTGTTATATATTTATTAACAATCCGCAGGGTAAAAGTATACGCATATATTACCTATATTGTTTGACAATTTTGAATTACATACGACTTTAACTCTATTAGAACATTTTAGAATACCTATAATCATACAATACAACTTATAATTTTACGATGATATATTAATTATTATTTCTATAACGTACTCGAGATTTAACGACTGTAAAGTATCATAAAATAGAAGTTTTGAACTTTTCTGCAAGACTTTCAACATACGGTTTATAGAACTACCTATATTTAACATATAATTACCCAATTTTAAGATTGACGGAATGCATTGGCAGA